AATGTACAATTGATTGATATGTTATCTTTGTTAGATTATAAGTATTTTCTATTGGCTTATATCAATAATTTACTGGCTTATATAGACGTACGGTTGGATGATATTATGTTATATTATAAGAATCTTAGTCTATATAAATAATTTGTTAGCTTATATAATAATTTTTGTTAGCTTATATCAATAATTTTGTAACTATAAATATTATTTGTTAGCTTATATAAATAATTTGTTAGGTTATATAAATCATTCTATGTCCTATCAATAATTTCAGATTTTACCAAATTCAAGACACGGATTATGTTTGTAGCATCTTAAAAAAAAACTTTGTTTCAAGGTTTGGTCAACCGGAAAGTAATGAAGAATTCAAAAATATGTTTGACAATTGTTTATATGGCTGTGACGATGTTAAAGAATTTGATGCATTATGGACTAAAATGATTTAGAAGTATGGTTTGGAAGAAAAATCTTGGTTTGACAGATTGTATGATCTTAGGGAGAATGGTATCCTGTGTTTAGTAAGGACATATATTCTGCTGGTATTTTATCATCACAAAGATCAGAGGTGACAAATAAAGCTATATCTTTCAAAGCAAACAAGAAGACTTCATTGTTTGAATTCTTTCATATTTTTGAAATAACAATCAAAAGATGGAGAAGCACTGAAAAAGAAGATAAATTCATAAATAAAACAGAGAAGAAAAAAACAAATTGCAAGTTGTTGACGCAAGCGACTGAAGTTTACACTTTGAACCTTTACAAAGACTTTATAAAAGAATATGAAACAAGTATGAGATCTTATATTCGAGATTTAACTTATGAAATAATAACTGAAGGTCTAAAAATGTTTGAAGTGTCAATAAATGAAGATTTCAAGAGCAGCCATCGAGTCATTAACTATGAGAATTTGAAAGAATTTGCATGCACTTGTTTATGTTTTAATGAAACAGGAATGATATGGTATCATACATTGAGACTTTGAGAGTAATGCATATGCATAATGTTTTTACTATTCCATCAGTATACATAAAAAAGAAATGGAGAAAATCAGCAAAATCTTCAATTTGGAAAGACGGAGAAGGTACCAATTTGTCTTATAAGATTTTTTGTTAGCTTATATAATTCAGGAAAATTTGTAAAATACCACCTACTATTGTACCCATTTTTTACAATACCACCAACAAATTTTTTTTTTTTACCACCATATTTTTTTTTCAAATATTTAAAAATTACCACCATGAAGTCACTGTGGACTCATATAACTACCTTCTCCTCTCTAATTTCACGATTCCCTTTCATGTTCACCCCATTACTCCCACATCTCCTCTTTTTTTTTTTTTCTTTTGCAAATTTCATAGGCAATAAATTAGGGTTCAATTATGTAATTTGTTCTTCAAGTCAATTGAAAATACAAAACTGAGTGTGTAATCATGTTATCAAGAAGGTATGTTCAATTAGGGTTATCGAGAAGGTATGTTCAATAAGAATAAGGTAGTGGGTGGGGGCCATAGTGACGTCATGGTGGTAGTTATAACGATTTTCAAAAATAGTTGGTGGTAATTTTTAAGGATTTGAAAAAAAAGATGGTGGTAAAATAAAAAATAAAAAAAAAATTGTTGGTGGTATTGTAAATAATGGGTACAATAGTAGGTGGTATTTTACAAATTTTCCTATAAATCATTAGTAAGCTTATATGATATATCTTAACTTATATAATAAACTTAACTTATATGATACCTTATATAATTTATCTTAACTTAAATAATGGCTTACATGATATGTTTTATTATAAGAATCTTTGTTGGCTTATATAATTTTTTAGCAAATGTTTAAGAAGTATTCGATCAAAATTCAGTACTTGACACAACATGGAGACATACAATATCAAGAAATCTCTATAATTTGGTGTCCATATGTCAATCAAATGAGGAAGGTAAAAAAAAATGTAATGATGCACTTGAAAAGATGTATCAGTTAGTGAAGAAGGTGTTTCAAACAGATGAGGAGAAGAAGAAAGAAATTAATGAAGAAGAACAGAGAAGAAAAACAGTACCTAATCTTTTAAGACCAAAAACAAAAGGAAGGCCACTTGGAAGAAACACAAGGATTAGAGGTTATTTTGAAAAAAGAAAAGCTGCTACAAGACATCCAAATGGATTTGGAACAAAAACTCCAAATCCTCAACTTATTTAAAAGTAATTTAATTATAGAAATGAAATAAATCAATCTAAATATTTAGGCTAGTATATTTAATGTTCTAGCTAATATGTTTAAATTGTAGGCTGATATATATTTTGCGTTGGTTGTTGTCAATTTTGTATTGGCTAATATGTTTCACGTGTTATATGAATCTATAGTTGTCTACTTTGTAATCTATATGTTGGCTTATATGACTTTATTGATGGCTTCATGACTTTTAAGTTGGCTAATATCATTTTTTTTCTTAGCTTATATCAATCTATTGTTGCCTTATGTGAATCTAATTTTGACTTTTGTGTTATCTACATTGGTTGTTATCATTCTATAATTGGCTTATATGGATATGTTTTTGGCTTATTTGAATCTATATTATTAGTGTTGGCTTATATATTATTTAATTTGCTTATATTAATGTTAAAAACATGTAACCTAGCAATATCATATATCAATGTAGTTCACTTTTATATAAAAATGTATCATCCTAATAAATCGTATAATCTAAGTTATATTACAAATCAGCTAATTTAAAACACATGTAACCTAACATATTGATTTATGCTAGTATATATATTGTGTTAGCTGATATATGTTTAAATTGTAGGCTGATATATATTTTGGGTTGGCTGTTGTGTATTTTGTGTTGCCTATGTTTATTTTTTGTTAGCTGATATGTTTTAATTGAAAACTTATGTATATTTTGTGTTGGATAAAGTATTCTATTTGTTTGATGAATTACTTTAATTTTTGTATCTTAATTATAATGACTTATTATTATCATTTATATCAACTGTTGATATTTAAATCTTAATGTTTTTTTGATATTTTTTGATGTGTTACATTATCAAAAACCAAACTACATATCATTTGGAAAAAAATTAAAAAAAAAAAAAAAACATCTTATCAAAAACCAAACGACATATTGTTTGATAAAAAATTAAATTAATAAAAAACCCTAAACGACAGACTATAACTTGACGCCTCCCAATATAAAGGAAAATTTACTTTATTAGTCATCATTTCACATCTTTCCCTTTTGTTTCCGTATTAAAAACCCTAAAATTATATTTTTTTTTTCCTTAAAAAATGGAAGACGGAAAATCAACAAATGATTCACTAGAAAACCAAATGCACGATATTAAACAATTAGAGATTCAATTGAGTTATTCAAGGGTCCCATTGATAGATGCAATGCTAAAGAAAAGCTTTGTATTGATCTAACAATGGAAGTGAACATACCAGAAAATATCGTGAAAGAGTTTGGGAGGAAATGCAGAAGAAAAAGAAAGAAAGTGGTCAATATTCAAATTAGTTATCCTTCATATGATTAAAAAATAATGTTTTTTTTAATGTATTTTCATTTTGATTCAAGAAAAATGTAATAAATAGTTACTTTTTAATAAAATTATGTTACATTTTAATGCTTGTTTTCTGCTTAGATAAAATGAAAGTTGATCTGTTTTATTTGCTGATATGCTCTATATGTTAGATGTTACATGTTTTTAGATTGGCTGATATGCAATATAACTTAGATTATATGATTTATTAGGATGATTGATATGTTTTTATATAAAAGTGAACTACATTTGTATATGATAGTGTTAAGTTACATGATTTTTAAATCAATATAAGCCAATTAAGTATTATACTCCGTATAAGACATCACTAATAGTATAGAATTCATATTTACATTCACATAAGATGCATATATGCCAAAAACAAAAATCATAACAGCCAACTATTGATTTCATTTAAGCCAACATAAATAATATAAGCCAACTAGGCATTATAACGACCAACACTAATAATGTAAGACAATAAAGTAAATTTGTAATGCATGATAGTTAATGTATAAAGAATAGAATAAATAAACAAGAAAACATATAAGATAATAAAGGAAATACATAAGCCAATAACAAAAACATATCAGATATTAATAGTCAATAGAAACAACAACAAATTATTGTTATAAATATTATATATGCCAAAACTAATAATATAGAATTCATATTTAGATTCACATAAGCCAATAATAGATTTATATAAGACAATTTTAGAATTATAACAGCCACTATAAATAACACAGAAGCCAAAATTAGATTCACATAAGCCAATAATAGATACATATAAGCCAAGGAAAAAAAAAGAAATTAGCCAACTTAAAAGTCATTTGAGCCATCAATAGATACATATAAGTCAAAATTAAAATTAAAACAACCATCTATAGATTCATTTATTTAAGCCAACATCAATATCAAAGTAGACTACAATAGATTCATAAAAGCCAATTAAGTATTATATAAGCCAATTAAGTATTATATAAGCCAATAAGAATTATAACAACCATTACTAATAATATAGAATTCATATTTAGATTCACATTAGGCAACAATAAATTTACATAAGCCAATTACAGAATCTTAATAGCCAACATATAACAGAGAAGCCAAAATTATAAGAACATAACATTTATTTTGACGTGTATTGGAAAATATGGTCAACACACTACTACAAAAACTAGAATAAGAAACGCAAGATACAAAACGATTATCTAAGGTAGGCGATCTCTAGGATTATATAAAACGCCTATGTTAGAGAGATGTTTTTATATGTTGAATCATATAGAACGCCTCTAAAGTTAACCGTTGTTTTTGATTTGTTTTATTTTTTTTAATAAATTGTGACTTTACAATGTAGGGCGCCTGTGTTAGCTAACCGTTCTATTTGATTGAAACATTTTAAAAAATAAAAAAAAAAAAATTAAAATGGCAAACCCTAATTTCTTACGGGTTAACCCCCCCTTTTTTTTTTTTTTTTTTTTTATAACTCCATTCTCAACCAGCCGTTAAAGGCATACATCTCTTCCCTTCATCAATATTTTCCTCCTCTCTCCCTCTCCTTAGATATGGCTTAAGGTTCCTCCATGGCTTTTACCCTAACTACAATCAAAATTATCTCCATGACAGAAAACCAATCTCGTCCTCAACAAAAAAGCCCAAATTTTCAACAATGGTGAAACCACAAGCAACTAAACCAATAAAAGTCGCCCAATTTTCGGCCACAACGCCTCTTTCGCTGTCCTTCGTCAATTTTCCTCCACATCGCTGCCCAATTTGGATTTGATTGTCAAATTCAAATTGACTTATTCAATTTATAGATGTATATTTAGCAGATTAGGCTGTGATTTTAGAATGTTTATTACTTCATTGTTAATTATCATATACTGTTTGTTCTTGTTTTCTCACATCTTTTAATTTTTTTTTTCATTTTCATTAACTGTTCATTTGATTAATGTGAGAAGTTGTTTCGCTTTAGGAAGATGTTTCTTTGATTTTGATTTTTTTTATTGAGATTAAGATTAAGATCTACAGTTTTATGTTGATGAAAATGCATGCCTTATACTTCCTATTTGTTTTTTTTGTTGGCTCTGACTTTATAAACAAAGGGTTATTATTTGGATGTTTGGTTAATTGCTAGTTACATGATCTAAAAATGAATTTATTTTAGTTAAAGATGTTTTATTTTAATTATCTATACATCTAATACTTATAATTTTTTTTTGCTTGTTTGTTTCAACAGATGAAGTAGATATAGAGGAGAAAACATTCTTAAAGATCTTCATGGAATCCTGCATTTTTGTTTCAAGTATTATTTTTTTTTCGCATTTGATTTGTATCAAAATGTACTTAGTGTTTTTGTCAAAAAAACAAATGTACTTAGTGTTGTAATTAATTGAATACAGAGGTGAATAAAATTTATTTTGGTATTGGATTTTGACTTTTACAGTTTAAATTTGATTTGAGTTATTGATTGATGATGTATATTTGTAGTCTTGTAGATATCAAACCTCCGCAATTCATGCAAATTATTATGTTATTTTTAATTAAAATTTGACAAAGAGAACTGTTATCTATGGGAACCGTTCTCTTTGATTTTGTATTCTATATGAGTTTTGAAGAATAAAAGAAAATGGTTGACTCACATAACCGTTCTCTTTCTTTTGCATAAAGAACGCCTTTTCCACCCGTTTTATAAACTTTACACATCGTTAACAGAAGAACGCTTCTAAGACGTTCTATAAGCCCTATTCCGACAGTTCTCTTTCCCCTTTTTTTGTAGTAGTGACAATATTTACTAATAGAAGTTGAATCATTTAGTTAATATTCATCTTTCCATATATAGGATTAATTATGCTTGATCTTAATTTTGTACATGATGGATGTTTTATTTTGAATATGTATGCATTTTAATCCATCTTTAGAATATATTATAACACTTGTTTTTTGTGGAATATATAGGGATGATTTAAGTATAAGCCAAGTATTGATTTATATTAGCTAACAAGAAAAATATAACAGCCAACAGAAAAGACATATTAGACAACAAAACATAAATATAAGCCAACAAGAAAAGTTCATCAGCTAACAAAAAGGTATATCAGGAAACAAAAAAAATGAACCAATAAATCAATTTTGACGCATGATAGTTAATGTATAAAGAATATAATAAACAAGAAAAACATATAAGATAATAATGGAAATACATAAGCCAATAACAAAAACATATAATATATTAATAGTAAACAGAATCAACAACAAATTATTATTATAAGTATTGTATATGCCAAACACTAATAATATAAAATTCATATTTAGATTCACATAAGCCAACTATAGATTTATATAAGACAATTATAGAATCATAATTGCCAACATAGATAACACAGAAGCTAAAATTAGATTCACATAAGCCAACAATATATTCATATAAGTCAAGGAAAAAAAATGATATTAGCCAACTTAAAAGTCATGTGAGCCATCAATAGATACCATACATATAAGCCAAAAACAAAATCATAACAACCATATATAGATTCATTTAAGCAAACATAAATATCAAAGTAGACTACAATATATTCATATAAACCAATTAAGTATTATATAAGCCAATAGGAATTATAACAACCAACACTAATAATTTTGACGTGTATCGGAAAATGTGATCAGCAATATGTATTAATGGAAGTTGAATCATTTAGTTAATATTCATCTCTCCATATTGGCGTCTTTTCGTTTATTCTCTTCTAATATAAAAACCTTTTTTTTTTCTTCTACTCTATCATAAATATATCAAAAAACGAAACTATAAAATTTTTAAGATACCAAAAGAAGACAGGAGTTTATTATATGTATTCAACACAAATTCCAGAATTAGGTAAGATACAATTGTAATTATTTGAAATTGGTTGCTTTTTTTTTTTTTTGGAAAAATTCATGGGAATAATCCCACCTTTGGGCCATTCGTTTTTAATAATCCCACCTTTGAGTTATTTTTTAATAATCCGACCTTTAGCCCTCATTATTTTTTATTGGTCCCAACCGGTCGGATTATTAAAAAATAACTAAAAGGTGGGATTATTAAAAACGAATGACCTAAAGGTGGGATTATTCCCGTGAATTTTTCCTTTTTTTTTTTTTTTTTGGAAATTAGTTAATTTTTTTGTTTGTAAACAGGTTATTCATAAATTTAATTTCGAATATACAATGATTGATCTTAATGAACTTCACCCAGCCTTTCCATGCCTAATATATTACAATTTAACGTTTTTTCTTGACTAAAAGATCCAATGTACAGTGAATGTGTGACAAGTGTATGCAGGTGTTGGAGAAAGATAGCCCGAAAATGTTATAATAAAAAATAGAAAAATAATTAAAATAGTTTTTTTATTATTATTATTTCCTATTTGCCTATAAAACCATTGTTTTCTCACACATTTCACATGTTTGTTGTCTTGTATATTCTCTCTCCTAAAATAAACATTTATATTTATTTCTCAAATTTGGAAAACAATTCTCAGTATTCTACTTTATCAAACGATCTAGAAGAAAAATGCTATTGACAACTTTGAAAAAAGATAAAATGATCTACTCGAAAGAAGAGATAGAGTGAATGACGGACTGATGAAGCTCTATGAAAAAGTGGAAAATAATGAAATCGAAGAACTGAGGAAGAGAAAGAGGGCCTAAGAGAAATTCCATGAAGCACAAAACAAGAAAAAGAAAGAAGAAAATCAACAAAAGAAGGAAGATAAAGAAGATCAAAAGAAGAAACAAGTTTAAAATCTCAAAAAACAACAAGAAGAAGATTAAGATTCTAGGTTTTTTTTTTTTTTTTTTTTTTTTTTTTTTTGCTGTTAAGTTCTAAGTTTAACGAAAAAAAATTCGTAATCTATGACATATCATTAGAATATATGAAAATTATGTTATATAATAATTAAAATTTTCAAATATATGATATTTCCTGATATATTTCTTCATTTTGTCGATGTATTTATCAAATATATTAAATCTGTAAGCGTATATAATATTTATGTAGTATCATACTATTATTCTATTGACTGATATGATTTTTTTTTTTATTTTGTTTTGTTTGTTTACATCTTTTAAAAACTAGTTTATATTATTTTTATGTTGGTTTAAATGATATAAGTTACAATTTATACTTTGATTTTTTTATATATATTTATTTTTTTGCTTAAATACTTTAAAAATCTTATAAGTTAATTAAGTTAAAAAATCAGCCAATCAATATAAAAAACATATAAGCTTACAAATAGAGTATATCAGTAAATTAAACATATATATCAGCAAGCAAAGAAAACATTTCAGCTATGAGAATTTGAAATTTAAGCTTAAATATAAAACTTTTAAGCCAATAAATAGAACATATAAGCTAATGAAAAAGACTATATAAACTAAATGCTTGAATGGGACAATGCTTGAATGGAATGTGCCAACAGAAGAAACATATTAGCAAACAAAAGATAAATATAAGACAACGAAAGAAACATATCAGGTTACAAAATAAACATATCAGCCAACAAAAGAAACATATAAACCAACAGAAGAATCATATTAGCCAACAAAAGATAAATATAAGCTAACAAGAGGAGTTCATCAGCCAACACAAGTTATATCAAAAAAAAAAAAAAAAAAAAAAAGAACCAAAAAATGAATTGTATTAGGCTATCAGCCAACAAATAACAATAAAAGTAACTGGTAAGCAAACTATTAACATATCAGGTTACAAAATTAATGTATTAGCCAATAAAAGAAACATATAATCCAATAGAAGAAAACATATTAGTCAATAAAAGATAAATATAAGCTAACAAATGAAATATATCATCGGGTTAAAAAATAAATACATCAGCCACCAAAGATATTGAGTTAAATAAATGTATAAGCTGATTTTAAAAACATATAAGCTAATAATACATATAAGACATAAAAATAAAGAAAATTTAACTGATGTACACAATTCAACTAAAAAGAATATATCATATTAGCTAGCAAAGAAAACATTTTAGCTATTAGAATTTGCTAAAATTCTAAATTATTTTGTTGAGTATATCGATTGATATAAAACTCATATCACTATTGCATGCCAAGGTCCCATTGTTTTTGTTAATATTAATATTTCCAAAAAATATTTTCATTAAAGCTGATTAAAGTCATTATGGTTTTCTGCATTAGCAATTGTATTTCTGACTAAAGTCAATAAGAAAAAGACATTCATAATTTTAAGAACTATGAAAAAATCATTCAAATCTGACTATTTTTTAAATATAATTTCTGTTCATACAAAACGCTTTTCTATATAAAGCATATTTTAATATAATTTTATATAAATAATTTCTTATTTAAAAAAAAAAAACCCCTTGCTCTTTATAATGGAGGATGATAATTTTTATGAAAATATGAAAAAAATGCATTGTGAAATAGAGAACATCTAACAGAAATACTCTTGTAAGTTAGATTCTTATATCTAATATAATCTATAATTTAATATATTATTAATAATTTAATTTTGTATTTATGTTTGTTTCAGCTTCTTCCTTTAAAATGGAAGAGAAGGTTGCTTTTGTTTAACAATAAAACGGCAACAGTGTACTGAGGAAAGAATGGACGTGCTTGGAACGTCAGTGTGCTAAGTGTAGAAGAAGATACAGGCAAATTTGGATGATTTTTCATTGATCAAGAATGGCAAGGTTTTGTTGATAGAAACAACTTAGCTGTTGGTGAATTTCTGCATGTGTATTATAAGAATAGTACTTTTTATATTAGAGTTTTTGATAATAAGGTTAATGAAAGAATTCTTATCGAAGCTGAAAATGGTGTTTAAATCATAATATATGTCAATAAAAATGTAATATTATATATTTTCGAATAAAAATTTGGTTCGTATTAATGCTTGTTTTATTATTCAATTCACTAGTTTTTTTATATGATAATAAATCATATAAAAAACGTATCACCTAGCCAAATAAATCATATATACAAATTAAGATAAAACCAGCTAATATAAAATCAATATAAGCTAATTATAGTCTCATTTAAGCTAACTTAGATAATATAAAATCTAAAAATAGAAACAAATCAGCTAAAGAATTAGTGATATTAGCCAACAAAGTAAAAATATAAGCCAATAGATGATATAAGAATGGGCTAATTTAAGTATATTAAAGAATTCATATTATTTAAGCTACATAAAGATGATATAAAATCCTATATAGATAACATATATTATTGATTTATGTGATCTTTTTTGCCTGATTATAAGTTCTATTTGTTGGCTTATACTATTTTTATGTTGGGGTATAAAAAATAAGTTACAATTTATACTTTGACTTATTGATATATTTTTTTTTTTTATTAAAATATTTTAATAAATTGTGCCAATAAATCATATAAGCTAACTAAGATAACTAATTAGCCAATCTAAAAAACATGTAAGCTTACAAATAGAGTATATTAGCAAATAAAACATGTCATAACAACCAGCAAAGAAAACAATCAAGCTTGTAGAATTTAAGATTTCAGCAAAATTAAAAAACATGTACGCTAACAAATAAAATATATCAGAAAGTAAAAAGAATATATCAGCTAACAAAAAAAGTATATCAGCCTAAATAATAAAAAATGAAACTGAAATTTTATCTTTTGATGACTTATATGTATTTTATTTTGGGTAATACGTTTTTTATAATTAAAAAATATCATCAGTTTTTATAAAATTCATGATACTCATATATGAATCACAATTGTCAATGTCGGCAATCATAATTATCTATATACTTTAAACAAATAAATATCAACAATGCATGCTATGATTCAAAAAATAATTTCATCAAAAGCTGATTAAAGTCAATTTGGTTTTCTGCATGAGCCATAAATTTTCTAACTAAAGTCAAAATAAATCTCTGCATTATGAAAAAGTCATACATAATTTTTTGCATCATGAAAAAGTCATATAAATCTGACTAAAGTCAAAATAAATTTCTGTTACATTAAATGTTATAGTTATTATTGTTGTTCCATGCATAATTGTTCTCAATAAAAAAAAGGCCTTATAAAATTAAGCTTTTTTTTTATATAAAGTTTTCTTTAATAACTTCTATTGTTTCTATATAAGAACTATATATCATTAACATATATATTTTTTTTCTTCCACACAATATTGAAGACAATAACTGATTTCTATGAAAATACGACAAAATGTTCTGTTAATTACAGAAATATTTATGGGCTTGTTTTTGTAAGTTATTAAGTTTTATGCTTATACATTGTTTTGTTGACTGATATGTTTTTTTTTCCCTCTTTTATTGGCTGATATCAGACAATATTTGGCTTTTATTTTATGCTCCTTTAGTTGACTGATACGGAGTATATTTATTTTGTTGGCTGATATGTGTATTTAATTGTTGGGTTATATGATTCATTTCGGTAGCTGATATTATTAATTTGTTGGGTTATCTTTTGCTTTTGCTGGCTATATGTATATCTTGTTGGCTGATAACTCTCCTTGTTGGCTGATATACTCCTCTTGTTGGCTTACATGTTCTATTTGTGGCTAATATGTTCTGTTTAATATCTGATATATATACTTTATTTGTTATCTTACATGTTTTTTAAAGTGACTTATTTTTTTTATCTTTGTTATCTTACAAGTGAAGTTAGAGTCTATCGTGGAATGTAAGAGTGCACGTGATATGCGTAGAAGAAAATACGAGAACAGTTGGTGGTTGTTTTGCTAATGATGGATGAACAAGCTTTGTACAATCCAATAATATTGTTGAAGGAGAAAGACTGAATATTTATCACGATAATGATTCAAATTTTTACATTAGAGTTTTTAGTGCTGATGGTAATGAAAGACTTCATACTGAAGTTGAAAATGGTATTAATGTATAAGTTTTAATATATGTATCCTTATGCAATAATAATAATAATAATAATAATAATAATAATAATAATAATAATAATAATAATAATAATAATAATAATAATACGTATTTCTTATATATATGTAATATATTCAATAATTATCTACCAATAATTTTTATATCATCAAAAAATATATTCATAAAAGGGAATTTAAGTATAATATAAGTCAACTAATTTATAATATAACATAACCAAACAATAAGTTTGTATAAGCTAAAAACAAAATCATATAAGGCAAAATCATTTAATTTAATTTCTATATAAATAATCAAATAGAGTATAATAGCATGTAAAACAAAGCATGTAAGTCAAGATAAAATAATAAAGCAACAACTGATTCTTATCAGCCAACCTAATAAACCGTATAAGCCAAACTCAAATGCATATAAGCAAACCAATATAACGTAACATCCATTATTACAATCAGTATAAGCCAACTAATATAATATATCATCCAACATTAAATAAATATATGATAATATAAGGGAACTTAAGTATAATATAAGTCAACTAATTTATGACATTAAACTAATTTATAATATAACGTAACTAACAATAAGTCTGTATAAGCTAAAAACAAAATCATACTACGTATAAGGTAAAATCAAATGCATATAAGCTAAAATCAAATAAGCCAAAATCAAATGCATATAAGCCAACCAATATAACGTAACATCCATTATTAGAATTAGTATAAACCAACTAATAATATAATATATCATCCAACATTAAATAAATATATGATAATAAATCACATCCGAAACGTATCAGGCAATCAAATAAATCATACGAGCAAAGTAAGATATTATGTCAGCCAACGTAAAATCAATATAAGTTATTAAAGATAACATAAAATCAATATAAGCAAACATAAAATCAATATTAGCCATTATAAAATCAATTTAAACCATCATAAAAATCAAATATACATGTATAATAATGTTAATTTTCTATATGCCTTATAAAACACTACTACAAAAAGCGTGTTTTCTGGACGCTTTTTAGGCCTTTTATCAAGGCTAAAAAGCGTCGAAAATTATTTCTCGACGCTGCTAAAAAGCGTCGAAAAAACGTGAGTAGAAAATTTCCAGGAACACAAAAAAGCGTCGAGAATATCGACGCTTTTTTGTGTCCTAACTAATATACGAAGCGTCACAAATATGTATTTCGCACATTATCCCAAATGTGTGTAGTTTTTTAGCGACGCTTTTACCAATCCATATACTCAAATTTAGCGACTCTTTTCGTTGTCTTGCGTTTATTCGTGTCAGCCTTTGGTGTGGCTGGAAACTCTTTGAAATTTGAAAATGTGTAAATATGTAGACATTAAAAAGCGTCCAGAACTTTTTGTAAGCTTTTTTTTTTTCATTTTATTAAATTATTACCATCATACATACATTATAGTTATATAAATTTATCATAAATTAAATTAATAACATAAAAATTAAAATAAACAAATATTCTATATAACTAGATTTAAAAAAATAAAAAAAACAATAATTAATCAACAATATATATATAATAAGAGTACGTAGTTAATTAATTACCAAATTTTTAAAAAGAAAACATCAACACAATTAATAAAATTAAAAAAAATGTTGTATATTATATATAGTAGTTTGTCCCTAAATAAATACATCACTAATATAAGACTAAAAAACCAAAATATATCGATGATGGCCTTATAGATAATATAGTCGCTTGTCTTGATGCTCAAGTGTCGTGGCTTATTCTCTTGTTGCACCTACATTGCCTTTTCCAATCTTCAAAAGAAAAAAAAAAGTATAAATTAGTACATTACACAATATAGGCTCAAGGTTCATAATTGATATGAGACAATAACAAGGACATTATACTTTAATCTAGGAAATTAATTATGTACATTGCACATATATAAATCTGTAAAGTAGGCCTATAATTATTTAAGCTTTCTTATTGTCCATTAGAAAGCTTAAGAGAGTTATTGTGAAATAGAAGAGTCTTAAGTTGTATACTATTGAGAAAGCCAATACTGCAAGCTCTACTCCTGTGCATTTGAGTTCTGCAGTAAGTAACAAATGGAAAGCCCCTTCTGTTGGTTTCTATAAGCTAAATTCTGATGTTGCTCGTTTTTCCAATGATGATATGACTGGTTTGGGTGGGGTGATTCGTGACTCAGTGGGTGAGGTTATGGCTGCTACTTACTGGTGCATTAAGGGCTGCTATGAGGTGGATGTTGGGGAAGCTTTGGCAGCCAGGCATGGTCTCTCTATTGCAATCGAGGCTGGCCTGAATAGGATCACCTTGGAGACTGACTCGATGAAGCTGTACAAACCTAGCTACTGTGAAAATTCGGCTTTTTAGTGTGTTTCTATTAGTTCTAGTTTGTTTAGGGAGTAGAATCCCTTTGCTACTGCTAAAAAAAAAAACCAGATCCAGCAGCACAATCTTCCCACTAAACAATGCAGCGAAAAGGTTGAGTTATCATCTCCACCGTGATATATAACACACATCTTAGTCTAGAGCATGAAGTATAGAATCAAAAGAAATATATGCAAAAAGATGTAAAAAAAATCAAGATCATAAGGGCTTATGACTAAGAAATAAATAAGCTTCAAGGCATGCAGTAGACAAACATTTATCCCAAAAAGGCTTCATGACCTTTAGGGAGAAATTTCAAATACCTCAGTTAATTCTCAAAAAAAACTTGAAAAATATCAGACAAGCAAATAACTTAACGCTGCAACGAACCATCCTCTACCTCCACCAATTACTCTGGTATACGGCAGGAGACAAAGACAAAAGGAACAGGGGCAGAACAACAACAACAACACACAACCACTACAAGCACAAGCACAAGCAACAGAAGCAGAAGCAGAGGCAGCAATGGTTCACTAAAGGATCTTCTGCCTAATCCATTATTGCTGTTGAAATACCCAACATACTAATCTTGAAGTTTTGGACAAGCATTTCTGTCCAGTCTGTCGATTTGGCATTCAGTATCACTGATTAGTCTATGTCCTGCTAACTCTAACCCAAGGATTTAGCCATGTGGAAAGCAACATCGTCCAAGAACTCTTAGCAGCAGAAGCAAGAGAAGGCCATCAAATTTATCATTGTGAATGTGCTTTCTCTGGTGAAAATCCTTGGGAATTCATCGTATGACACCCAACAGAGATCGATGGTTTACCAACATAATTTAGTGCCTAACAGAGAGTTGGGCTCATAGTTATCTAATACGCGAGTATTATATCTCTGTAAACTATATGATTCAGGCCAAGAATGATTACTTTTGTGTTATAATTCATCTTTTTAAATAATCAGTACATTAGAGTATTAGGTGGGCTTTTTAACTTTTAGAGTTGACTATGTGTGGTTGTTGCATAGCTTATTATTATTCTGAGTTAGGAGTAAATTTATTGCCTGTTTAAGTTGAAAAAATTATAGAAAAGGCGAGGTTGTGAAAAACTCCAATTGATTCTCATTTCTGACTCAATTTTAGTTATTGTTATCCTTATATGAGGTATATTCGGTTGACGTTTAAAGACGAGTTTTATTGGGAGTTTTATTCGGGTAAGTGACTTTTAATATGATACGAATCGAGGAAAAAAATAATGTTTGTACATAGTAAACAATAACAAAGCCTTTGTCCCAACATACTAATCTTGAAGTTTTTTCAAGTTTTTTTTTATAAATGAGCAGGGTAGACAAGCAGCATGGGAGCAGGGAAGACAAGTAGCAGGGAAGCAGGGTAGACAAGTAGAGAACCTTAGGCAGATTACTATTACACACACACACACACACACTCACACACACACACACACACACACACACACACACACAAGCTCTGACTTTCACACACACACACACACACAAGCTTTGACTTTCACACACACAAACACACAAGCTCTGAATTTCACACACACACAAGCATTTTGAATTCAGTTCTGATTTAAATCTGATTTTCAGTTCTGAACTTCAGATCTGAATTCATTTATGGATTTCAGCTCTGATTTCAGTTATAAAGAGATTACCTGATGCTTTTCCTTTCCTAAGAACTCAGATGCTTTGTTTAAAAGATCCGGAGATGCATTCCCTTGACGAACTGCACCTAAAATCTGAGAAAATTGTCCAACAAGCACTTTAAGAAGAAGATTGTTGTGTCCGACCCGATCTTTTAGCTTTTCATTTTCTTGGGATAGTGTATCATTTTTTTATGCAAAGCATTCACTTCTTCTTTAACACTACCCATCACAATATTCCTCTTTTGAACTTTTCCATACCCTTCCTTAACACACCATGTACTCCAAAAATGTCCCCCTTTTTAACCTCTAATCCGTAACCCACAGGACGATCGGGAATCTCATTGCCATACATAGTTTGCTGAAATGCTTCATCTTCGAGCTCTTGTTCAGACATCTTAGGGTGTATCATCCTCAACTCTTCAACCTTATCTTTAACATCATCCTATACCAAATTATACCAAAAAATTTGCACAAAATTATACCACAAAATTTGCACAAACTCATACCAGAAATCTGTCACAAAACCATACCACAAAATCTTCAGTGACCGTGCTAGGAAGAAAGCTTCTGTCTTTACCCGTATGGGTTTTAATCCACAGCTCTAACAAGCTCATTTTCTGTCCATGTTCATCTTCCTATAAATAATAAAGCAACAATAGCTTTAATATGAAAAGTCAACAATATCAACCGCATATAAAAAAACATGCTTTAAATACAATCCTAGGTAATTAATTATAAAATGACATATATATTCCATACATAATCAGCTTGTCGGTTTGCAAAACTTTTAGAGCCAGATGTATGAAACTGATTTTGGGAGGCTCGTGCTTTTTTTCCGCATTCTGACATTCCTGCACTCATATTCAAAGAGTATGTATTTATTATATAATTATGAATAAGATATTAAATATTGCTTCATGCACAGTAAGCTAAGTATTAAACATACTTTCTCTTTATCCGAATCCTAATATTTCACCAACTTTACCCAATTACTACTAGTAATTCCATGTGGCACATTATTGCAAATCTGATCTAATGTCTTCTGTTCTGGCTTGTAATATTGCTGTTTTAGAGAGTATTTGTATTGCCTCCAACATTTATTGGCACTCTTGAGAGCCTGGTTGTCATATTCTGCACCAAGAGGAATCACAAAGTGTTCCTTCAGTAAATAAAATTAGTTATAAACATAAATCAGTAAGTAATCTATAAATAATAAGAGACCGGCTAATTATGTATGTTTTGACAATTAAAAGGGATGGCTTAGGGACAAATATACTTACTCTTATATCTGTAATTATCTTCCCTTTGAAATGATTGTCGATTGCATGCCAATATTTTTCCCCAACTGGGCAACAACTTTCCATCTTTGCAATCATACTAACGAATTTAACCAAAATATGTCCACCTTTCCTAATTGGCTGGCATAGATCATTGAATTCAACATAGTATTGGACGCCATTATTACTCCAAAAGTCAATTGGCAGAATTATACCACTTACTAATGTAGTATTACCATTGGCATCTGATTTAAATACAAAAAGTAAGGTAACAGAAATAATCAGTTTAAAAAATTAAAGTACTGATTTAAATGGGAAATATTTACCTATGGTTAGAACCTCCTCCTTGTCGTCAAAATCTATGTCTAGAGGCCAATCCGGAAGTGCTTTTGGTCGTAAAGCCTTAGATTGTTTTGGGATCTTTTCTGATTCTTTTCCACTTTTTTGTCGTTCTTGATTAGTTTGTGGAGCTATTGCTGAAGTTTTAACAGCACCAGTCTTAAGGTTCTGAATTCCTCGTCTCACAGGTTGCTCGAGAGTTTTATGAGAAGTAGAAAGGGAGTTCAATGATGAGTCTGGTCTACTTGATTGTGGAATATTAGGTGGGATATTAGGTGAGACTTTTGTTGGATATTTTTTCTAATAACCTGATGTAGCAGCTTCTTTGACTGAACTCGATGTTGAACCAGGAGGATTTTTCCAAATGGATCCTAAACTATTAGGTGGTTCCTGGTCAGATTTTGTAGTGGTAATGGGTGGAGAAAAAGGCCCCATTTGTCATCCTTAAGTACCTCAGTCTGTGGTGACTTAGTAGATTTTTTTTGGTGGGTTGTGAAACAACTTCAGTAGTAAATGAAGTATGTGCATTAGTTGTAATTGGTGACTGTGCTGACAGTGGATCATGTGACTTAGCTGTGGCAGCAAGTATTTCCCTTGCTCTCTTGCTTCGATAAGTCATCTTTTACCTGATGAACCATAAGATAAGCTACATTAGTATGTCAACACTGATATAAAGACAAGATATAAACAGAAATACAAAATAAACTGATATAAAGATCTAAACTATATATCTAAATTGTACAGTTCTGAACTATAATCACAATATCACATTTATAGTGGGTTAATTACAAACAGCAACAACACTTAGTTCAATAGCGCGCACACACACACACACACACACAATCTTTACAGCAAATGAAGTTGAAAAAGACCATATATTAAACAGCTGATAGAGAACCTAGCATAAGAGCAATTAGTAACATCATGCAATGTTCTAGCAAAAGTATCAATGTTCTAGCAAAATTAGCATAGTAACAGCAGGAGATACTTCTGATTGGTCGAATAAAGACTGAAATCAGAGTTGAAATACAGAATTTAATTCAGATCTGAATACTAGAACTGAATTCAGAGTCAAAATCAGAACTAAAAATGTAGTGAATATTTGATAATCATAACTGAAAATGTAGTCGAATTGGTCAAAAAATATAAAGTAGTTTTTACTATTTGAAGACAAAGAGATAAACTTTTTCTGATTTTTGTTCTCTGGAGATTACAGCACATTTTTACTATTAGCAATTTCTTTTATGTTAGAAAGAATCAATCAATCAATCAAAGTCTTTATATTAGAAATAATAATGACCATTATTGCTTTTCCTGCAGCTGCAGAAGAAGTATCTTCTGCTAGTCATGATACTGATCCTAGACGACAATGTTCTAAATTCAATTGTGAATTCAATTCTGAATTTAAACTCTCAAAAAATTAGGTCTGAATTTAGTTCTAGATTCAGTTCTGAATTCAAACAGCAACAACACTTAGTTCAATTACAGTTCTGAACTTCAGATCTGCAACTCAGCTCAAAATTAATTTTGGGTTCATTACAAATAGCAACAACACTTATTGTGAAATAGAAGAGTCTTAAGATCGGTCAAGATGCAAAAGCCTTAACCTTGACCGGTAAAAGAGCAGAAAGGCAGCTATAATCACAATATTAGTGAAAAGTAAAGACAATATATAAAGACAAAACTGATATAAAGACAAGACAATATATGTACAGCTAAACTAAACATCATAACTGAAACACAAAATAAGAACAACAAAAATCAATGCATTAGAGTTGAAATAACAAGAAATAAATTTGACCAAAAGACAAAATCTGATGTTCAGAGCTGCAATTCAGAACTGAATACAATTCTAGATTCAGTTTGGAATTCATTCTAGAGTTTAGTTCTGAATTCAGTTTTGAAATTCAGATCTGAATTCAATTCTGGATTTCAGTTCTGATTTCGACTCTGAATTCAGTTCTGGTATTCAAATTTGAATTAAATTCTGTATTTCAACTCTGATTTCAGTTTTTATTCGACCAATAAGAAACCAAAACAATAATACTACTTAGTACCATAAAAACAGAAATTAAGTTAACAAAATGCAAACTTTGATGAATTAGAATAACTAAATGAAATATAAAAATACACACCCATCCAAATTTATGAACTCAAATCTGTAATAAGTTATAAAAGTTGTAAACAAATTATCCAAGTATATCAAACAAGTCCCTAGGCTTAGTTTTCACAACATGACACCACCCTTTTTGTATCTCATCCTCGATATAAAAAACTTGTTTTGCTTGAGATGAGAAAACAAATGAATCATCACGCAAAAATCGACCAATGTGCATCAACTTTGAGAAATTGATACAAACTCTTCTATTCGGATTTGTTTTGATACCCCTACGGATATCGACCCAATCACAAGGAAACATATAACCTAATAAGAACCATAATAATCTAATTCCAAAATTTCTTTGAGTTTTCCATAATATTCGTGATCTTTTGCTTCCACCATGATTCCTGAATTCTGAGTTATTCGAAATCGCTCACGATCCACAATATCAAATTTGTAACCATTGATAATAACACTTTTCATCCTTTTCCCGCGGTTACTCAAGCCACTGGCTAAGGCTTTTCTTAACTTTGCTTCTATCGTGCTATCATCTAAATTATGGACCTATAATTCGAGAATAATAAAGTTAGAATTAGAATGTTGTATAATATGAAATAAAAAGACCCTAAATGTAAAAGCATATGACCTGGCTTTGCAACCAATCTGCAAAATCATCAATTATCCACTGATTTTCAATAGATTCATTAGCTTGACTTCCTCCAACGTCATTCTCTTGCCTCTTTAGTTTAAGGAACTCACTATCGAGATTGTAAATTTTATGTTAGTAACAAGTATATATTGGACGCTTTAACCAAATACATAATGCTACTTACTTGAGCACCGGGGTCAATTCATCATAATGAAGTAAAACATAGCGATGAGCTTGCTTTAAACTTCTATCATCCGAACGGACATTTTCTTTCTTTCCAACAACACGACCACCAGATTTATACAAATAGTTGTAAATGTTTGATACACCATCCTCATTCCTTCTAGGTCTATTGAACATAGTCTCAACACTTTCTAAATATCTTGAACAAAATGCAATTGTCTCCCACAAAAGGTAACCTTCCGCTATAGATCCTTCAGGTTGCGCTTTATTGCTTACATGAGATTTTAAAAAGGCTAAGTACCTTGAATTATAGTAACGATTTTGTATGTCAATGTGAAATAATAAGGAAAATTATTATTTAAAAATTAAATAATACAAATAAAAAAAAATAAAATAAATAAATAATAATAATAATAATAATAATAATAATAAGTACCTTTCAACAGGATACATCCATCTATAATGAACCGGTCCGCCTAGTCTGACCTATTCCACTAAATGAATTAGTAGATGAACCATGATTGTAAAAAATGTTGGTAAAAATTCTTTTTCAAACTTGCAAAGAGTCAACACGAGCTTTGATTGAATGGTATCTAATTCTCTTGTATCTATAGCAGTTGAACATATCTTTTTAAAAAAGTCAGACAACTCCTCAAGCAAGTCAATAACTTTTGTGGCATTCGACGCCCTTAAAGCAACCGAGAGGATATCTTGGATGAGAATATAATGGTCGTGACTTTTCATATTAATAAGTTTCCGTTGCTTTAGATTCACACATCTTTGCAAATTATATCCATATCAATCAGGAACTTTCATCTTTTTCAAGACTTTTAAAAATCGTTCTTTCTCCTCGTTAGACATGGTGTATGCAGCCGGCGGGATGTAACCTTGAGGGTTGACCCATAGATGAGGTTTTATATTCAAATTCTTTAGGGCTTCTCTGCCACTCTCATCATCCCTACTATTATCCATATCTAAAAGAGTTCCTAATAAAATATCGGACACATTCTTTTCAATTTGCATAACATCTAAATTATGTCTAAGAGGATTATGCTCCCAATACTCTAATTCAAAAAATGTACTTTTCTTTTTCCAAAGAACATCATTACCATCGGGATCGCAATCATCATCAAGTTCATTGGCAGCTTTTTTCCCTCTTTTTTTAGGAACTTTTTTTGTCTTCCCATATACATACTTTACCCCTTCTTGTTGCTTCAAAACATCGGTCCCGCTGGTACGAATCGGAGCAATACCATATTCTTCTTTCCCATAAAACAAATTAGCTTGTGAACGATATGGGTGATCAATAGGCAACCATTTTCGATATCTAGGGTAGATAATGTTTCCACCAAATCTATCTGAATAAGTAGAATGAGTGCAAGAAGGATAAGATTTGTAGCCTTTCGTACTCCAACCTGACAACATAGTATAAGCCGAAAAGTCATTAATAGTAGAGTGTAGGGCTGCTCGCAGTTTGAAGTTGCTTCTACTATAAGAATCAAAAGCATCAACACCTTCCCACAATAATTTCAATTCATGGATTAGTGGTTGCAAGTACACACCAATATCCATACCGAGACCAAATTTACCAGGAATAATTATAGAAAGAATAAAGGATGATGGTTTCATGCAAAGCCATGGTGGTAAATTATAAGGAATGAGGACCACCGGCTATGTACTATAATTTGTGTTCATAAGACAATATGGATTAAAACCATCACTCGCTAGGCCTAATCTAACAGTGCGAGGATCAGCGGCAAACTGTATATTTTTCATCAAATTTTTTCCAGGCCTCGCCATCAGCAGGGTGTTGTCGAATCTTATCATCCTTACGATTAAAGTGCCATCTCATGTCCTCTGCAGTTTTAGATGACATGTAAAGCCTATTTAAACTAGGGATAAGGGGAAAGTACTCCATTACTTTAGCTGCCTCGCCTTTCTTACATGCTTTTTTTCCTTTTTCATTTACATCACCCTCCTTTCCTTTCACACTTTTCCACCTTGATGTATGGCATATATGACACTCACTTTTATTTGCGAATTCGCCCCAATATAACATGCAGTCATTTGGACATGCATAGATTTCCTCATATCCTAACCCTAAATCATTTATTATCTTCATATCTTCATAATAGGACGATGGAAACTCCTTAATGAGAAATGCGTCAATTAGAAGTTCAAGTAATTTATTAAATGACTCTGCAAACCAATGGAACATACACTTTAGGTGAAACAAATGCAATAGAAATGAAAGTTTTGAAAAAGTAGTACACCCCTCGTACAGGCCTTTTTCAGAAGCTTCCATGAGTTTTTTTATACTTTGCCTGTTCTTCATTTGAGAAAGTTGATTGATGCTCATCATCTACCTCGCGATAAATGGTAAACCCCTCATCCATATCATATGAATTGTCATCTTCAATACTTTGTTCATTAAATGATGGATCTTGAGTTTTGTCGGTTTGTTGTGTATTAACTCTAAAAGCTGCTCTTAGTAACCCGTCCATATCATCTCGACCTACTGCATTTACTTGATCATCACTTAGATCATAGGTATTACTCCCTTCATCTTTACAATGAAATATCCAATTTCTATAGTTTTTATAAAAACCATAAAATAAAATATGCCCTCTAACTTCTTCTACAGAATTTGTTTTATTTAACTTGCACTTATTACATGGGCATTTAGTTTCCCATGTATTTGGTAAAAGAGTCTCTTTAGCAAGTTTCAAGAATTTCATGCAACCTTTAAAATAACCAAGATCACCTCTTGGTAAATCAATCCAACTAGTATCCATGTCTACAAAGAAGTATATAGTTAATTGCTAATTAAAAACAATGACATTAATAAAAAAACATGTTACAAGGATCCTTAAACAAATATATAATAGGGACATCACTTTCACTACGTAAATAGACATAGATCAAACTTATAATATCAAGAAGTTTATCCACTAAAAAATAATGTAAGTAAGTAATTCAAGCCTACAAACTTGTTGGTGGGTGAAAGAAGAAAATTAGAAAGAAACATGCAACAACAACAAAAAAAATTATGCGAGTTCGATGAATTTCTCATTCAACAAACCACACTAAAAATCTACAAAACATGACTCCAAGGCAGTAGGCACACGTTATTCAAGCAATTAGAAGATAGTGTCACATGAATCATCCAATTAGGGAAATCTAATCAAGCCTACACAATTGAAATAAGTATATGCAAGCCACAATCTTTAAAAATGTATTCTAGTTTGAGCTAATGTCTAAGGTAGAGTGTACCTTCTTTGCCGCAAAAGTACAGTAAGATCATACAATCTGTGTGTTTCAAGCTACTGAAAAAGGCTGAAAACAGATTAGGTAGTGTTAGTAAGCTTTAACATTTTAAAGGATGCAAAGCCTGAGATGAAACTAATAAAACCAGGTTGAGATGCAAGAAAACAGGATGAGAAGAAACTTCTATGAGCAAAATAAAAGCTACAATAATTAAGCAATTCTTTTTTATAAGGTCTATCCATCCATTAACTAACAGGTCACACTGATCATATATTTATGCTTTCATTTCAAAGGAAACCATCAGAATAGTTATATTTCAAGTCAAGCTAAATTTATTAAATGAAAGGAGGTATTTTCTCAACTTCGAGTTTGATCTTTGAATGTGTTATTAAGAACCTGATTTGAGTGAGGCGCGAAAATATAAAAGTTGAGGCATGGGATTAATATACAGTATTGCTGCAAGACAGACTGCCCCAGCCTCCAGTGTTCATTGTTTGTATGCCTAACCAAGTGAAGAAACAAATGTATTCTTCTAAATTTTCCATGGTACATAAAACAGTGAGTAGTTTGGTGGGAAATATGCATGCCAAAAATTGACTTAGATTACGGATATAAACTCCCAAAAAAAGTTAACAATTAGTAAAAGTTAATTTTACACGAGAGAAATACTCCATAATTTTGTTAACAAAAGTAAAAAAAACTCGGCAAGTCAAACTAAGCTTCAGAATACTATCAAAAACACATGCCAACAAATCAACATCCCTTTTTTTTCCCTCTTTTTTTTGTACTAGTATATTACAATAAAGCTTTCATTCATGAAAAAGCAACAATTAATTATATCATTTTGTCTTTAATCAAATAGCTAAAGACAAATTAAAATTCGTAATTACTATATTAACTAATATATAGATGGTGGTCCATGACATAATTTGCCCATACTTACTGACATTGTGGTGTATAATACTTGAATGAGAATATAAATAAACTGCCTGTACTGAGTTGGTGGCGCGAAAACAGAACCTTATCTGAAGATCTGAGGTTTGCTGTGAAAAGGGATGCCAGCATTTACAGTAAACGGCGTTGCTGCATTATTTCTCAGCAGCAACCAGCTGTAATTAGAACTTCCTAAACTAAAGGCCAAAGCAATAGCTAGCACAACAATCGTAGCAACACACCAAGCCTAAAGTATAACATGAATGCAGAGAACTAGTAAAACCCTAGAAAATTCATATAAAAAACCCATAAAATTCAAAAACCAGAAAAATCAAAGCCTATAAAATTCATATAAAAAACAATAAAATTCAAAGCCTATAAAATTCATATCAAAAACCCATAAAATTCCAAACTAATACCCTAAAATTCGCCATAAAAATCATAACAAAAACCAAAAAACTACTTACAAAAATAAAAAAAAACATGGAAACCATGGATTTGAAAACAGAATTCATGAAAAAAACAACATAAAAAGAAATTAAATTATCTAATTAAGGGAAAAAAATTACCTCGCAATAAGAGATCGATTCTTGTTCTACACCAACTCAAAATCGAAAACATGCAAAGAATAATGCCCAATATAAACGAAATTTAGAGAATTGTGAGATATTAGGGTACCAAAAACGATAGATATATACCTAGCATCAATATTGTATAGCAAATTGTAAGTTGATACCTGAAATTATTGAAAGTGATGAGCAAAAAACCCACAAATTCCTTGAAGAAAGCAAGCAAAATTGTGAAAATTCTTTTGTCGCTGATCGATGAGAAATTAAGCAATTAAGCAGAATGTGGGCGGTTTAATTGGGAATATGGGGAAAATACAACCCGCTATTATTTTCATTAAAAATTTCAAAATTGTGAAAACAATAACTCACGTGCATAGCACGTGTTTTTCCCGACGCTTTTATGTGTCGGGACAATCTTCGACATTAAAAAGCGTCGAGAAAAGGCGGTACCAAAAATCATACGCTGACGCCACATCAAAAGCGTCGAACCAAAAGCGTCCAAAAAGTACGCTTTTTGAAGTAGTGTTAGGGTAAAAATTGTACAATACATATGTATGTACACTACTTATTATCTTCTACATTCTTCCGTTTTTTCTGTTCTTTCTCCAGCAATGTTTTTTTTTTTTTTTTGCTTCATGATCAACTTCTTCTTTCTTCCTTTTTGTCTGCTTTTTTAATGAAACATGTTTCCTTTTACAAAATCTTGAAAGGTCATTTACCACTTCAGGATAATGTTTGTTTTGTATGTTAAATATATACCAATTCTATTTCAAGCTTACATCTATACAATTTTCTACCTTTGCTTAACCTACTCAAAACAAGCCAAGCTTTGAAACATTTGCCCCTTATTTTCTCAAAACAAGGTTAATTTTTAATTTTTTTTTTTTCTTTAATCGATCTTTCTCCTCCCACTCACCACCCTCTTCCATGGAACCCACCTTGTAAAACACCACCTGCACTACCAACTATCCCACGCCTGACCCAAAACCACCCATACCCGACCCACCCTTTACTTCCCCCACCCTAGAAAACCACCCTTTTCCTACTCCCCTACCTCAAAACTTCCTAAAACCCAAAACCCCAACCTTCAAAACCACCGTAAAACCCAAACCCCAGTACCGAAACCACCCAATTGAAACACACCCAAACACATAGTCTAAAGAATGAAAGCAAAAACAACCCAAAAATCTGATTAAAAAATCCAACCTAACAAAGGAACCAAAATCATTCAATTTTTCATGCTAATGCAGTTCATTAATTGAAATTCCTACGAAGTATGATTTGAAAGAATAAGGAAGCAATGAAAGCTTCAAATCTTCATCCACCCCCAAAACCTCTTTATTAATCTCCATAAACAACCTTTACCATACGAAAATCAACCCTAACCATCACCAAAAACAACCCAAACAACCGAATCTAAAAAAATTTGCAAGAGAGAGGAGAAAGTGGCGGCGCAGCGGCGGTGAAAAGAAGCTGGTTCAGTGGGATCGGGGAAGCGCAGGGATGGGGAACGAGAAAGGAGAGCAGAGGGCTTTTTTTTATTATTAATTTTTTTCCAAAATAATTAATTTAAGATAAAAACCAATTAGAAGGTGACATGTGGAAAGTCACCTTCTAAAACTAGTTAATAATTTTTAAAACCGGTAAAAGGACTATTTTGAGAAAATAGGGGGCAAAGGTTGGCTTGTTTCCAGAATTTTCAAAGCTTGGCATGTTTTGAGCAACTGTGGGATTATTCTTTTCAATTTTTCCTTTTATAAATAATGATATAAATTTAGTGAAAAATATTATCGAATATTATTCAGAAAGTTTTTCTTAAACACCACCAGTGTATAAATCAATAATTTTGGCTGCATATAAACCGCAATCTTCACCTTCAGTGTTTGATCTCCATTTAAAATTTCGAAATACAGTGTCACCCCAAATATTACAGTTAAAGAATTTCATATTTTTCAAAAAACATTTACAACTACGGAGCGCTAGAGCCTAAAAAAATCATATCAAGTTCATTTTTATATATTAAAACAATATAAAAATTAATATAAGTCAATTATTTACCAACAAATCTTCTCTATTTTTAAATTTAATGATCCCATCATTCCGATTATCTATTATCTCAATCGCTGCCTTTTTGTCTTAGTAATTTGCAATTGAATTAAACACTAGGACATCATAATGATCATTCTCATGAATAGGGAAAAATATCTGCATTAAACAAAAATAATTTTTAAAAAATAATAATACAGAAGCATTTACAATATAATCCATTAAATGAATGATAACATCCAACAAGTTAATGGTATCATTCATCAACTTAATAATAACATTGAATATTACAATGATATCATTCTAAAATGAATGATAACATACACATAATATATAATATCATTTAGCCAAATGATGAAATCAAATGGCAATAGATGATATCATTCAACTAATAATGATATAAGCCAACAAAAATATCTTATAAGATGATAAAAGATATACATAAGGCATTAGTTGAATAATATAAGCCAATGTTTTTATTATATTAGCAATTTTTTTTATTTATATCAGATTATATAATAATTGAATCAGACAAAGAATATACAAACCAAATAAAATATAGACATAAGCAAAGAGATAAAGGTAACACAGATCATATGATCAATCTCAAAAAAACCAAAAATAATTAAAATCTAAACACAATAATGATATAAGTAAACAAAAATATCTTATAAGATAATAAAAGATATGCATAAGGCATTAGCTGAATAATACCAGCCAATGTTTTTATTATATCACCGATTTGTTGATTTATATCATATAAAATATGAAACATGTAAGGTAGCTAAAAAAACATATATGAATAAAATTTAAAGATAAATCGAACACAAAAAACATATAAGCAAACAAAGTAGAAGAAGAAAAAGAAAATTTTAAAATTTACCAAATTAAGATTCTTGAAGTTTATATCTGGAAACTTTTTGCACCATCCTTGTATAGTTATATGCCTTCCTCAATTTCATTAGTAGAACAATCTTCTATCTTTCTATCCTTCTCTTTTACTGCCTAATTTTGTTTTAAATCCAGATAAGTAGCATGATCAGTCTTATAAAATTAAGCACAAAGCTTATCAACTTCTTCTTTCTCTACAAAATATTCATCTCTGTTTTTTATTCTTTGATGAATCTTAGCAACATCTTTATGAAAACAAGAAATGTAAGACATGATTAATATAAACATCTATATATAATTATATATAGAACAAAATATTTAAATAAAAAAAATTAAGTATGTACTCACTCATACATTTGTAGTAAACCAAAAATCTTCGCACCCGCTTTTTTCCATCGGGTAATTTTCCACCAAATTGTTTTTCAATTCAACTTCTCTCATGTTGAACATATATAAAAAATTATCAAGAATATTATTTTCAAACATTCACTAGGTCTCATGCTTAATATATCACCCTTCGATATAAATATTTCAGATTCAATGCCTCCATATTCTGCCATTGTATCAAACACTTCTTCTGCTTTTAAGTCCTTATTTCTCTTATTCCCTTCTTCAGTTGGATTTATCTCCAAAAAAATTTCTTCTTCAAATCTTAAAAAGAAGAGAAAATCAGCTTGTTGCTTTTCCAAAGGAGATAAAGCTTTCTATTTTGCAATGCTCTATACACAAAAAAAAAAAAAAAGAGAAATGCATCCTTTTTTTCTCTTTAAACTCTTATCCATGAATAATCATCTGCAATTTTCTTAGCAAGCATGGCTATATCTTCATTGGATACAGATGTTGCAACAGCTTCTGACATAAGAAGTGATTTACTAACAAAAGCATCTGAAGCACCTGATGTATGTGTGGGCATCTGAACAGAAACTGGAATAGGAGCTACAACAATATTTTCTAGCTTTAATTCCTGCAATATCTGACTAGGCACCTTTTTACATCAGAATCCTGCTACAGTAATATAACAAAAAAATGATACAAAGATGTAATCAATCAAATAGTACATATCAACATAAAAACAAATCATATCAGTCAAAATCAGCCATCATAACATCAATATAACCAACAAAGATAACAAATCAATTTATATCATATCAACAAACTAAGATAACATATCAGCCATCATAACATCAATATAAGCCAACAGAGATAGCATATCAGTTTATATCATTTGACATTTCAACTAACTTCATTAAAGATATAAGCCAAAAATTACACTCCATCAACATTTAAATCAAAGAAATATCTATAGCCTATAAATATAAGCAGAATAAGATAACATATCAGCTAAAATGAAATCAATATAAGTAAAAAAAAAAAAGATAAATTTTCAACAAAGAAAGAAAATGTATCAGCCAACATAAAATCAATCTAAGCCAGCAAAGATGACACTTCAACTTCACAAATATTACAGTTTATTTTACACATGTAAGCCAACAACAACATAAAGAATATATAAAATAAGAAAACAGCCGGCCAAACTAAAAGTGTAGTATTTCATATCAATAACAAATTAATTCATATCAGCAAACAAATATAACATATAAGCCAACAAATCAATTTATATCAGCAAAAAAAAGATAACATATCAGCCATCATAACATCAATATAAGCCATTAGAGATAGCATATCAGTTTATATCATTTAACATTTCAGCCAACACAATTAAAGATATAAGTTAACAATTACAATATATCAGCATTTAAAAAAAGCAATATCATCAGTTTATTATTTATAATAAGATAATATATCAGCTAAAATAAAATCAATATAAGCCAACAAAGATAAAATATTAGCAAAGAAAGAAAACGTATCAACCAACATAAAATCAATTTAAGCCAGCAATGATAACACTTCAATGTTACAAGATTACAATTTATTTTACACATGTAAGCCAACAAACAGCTAGCCAATCAAGCGTGTAGTATATCATATCAGCCAAAAAATTAATTTATATAAGCAAATAAATATAACATATCAGCCAACAAATCAATTTATAGCAAACAAAGATAACATATCAACCATCATTAACATCAAAATAAACAATTATATAGTAAAAATTAACACCAGATATTTTAATATATACATATATTATTATATAAATTAAAAATAAAAGTACAAAATTGTTGCAAAATTGAATTAAAAATGTTCTAAAAATACATTATATTGATAAAATATTATCCTAAAAACTTTACAAAATGAAGTATGATAAATATTTGTTTGAGATAATTATTTGAAAGATACCTCATTCTCTTTTTCAGACAATTTTGATGGAGGAAGAACAGAATGATTGACAGTAATAGGAGGTGGAGGAGGTATAATAGTATTAGGAATATTAGGAGTAGGAGGAGTTTTGTGACTATCAACAAGATAAAAAGAAGGTTCAAAAGCATCAGCCTTCTTTTTCGATAATGAAACATCCACAATAAGTTGATTAAGGTAAAACTTTTAGCACTATTAGCATTAGTCCCAGATTATTCAACAGCAGTAGATCCTTCAACATTACTCTTTTTTGGATTAGCTTCACTGATAACATTGTCACTATCAACTTCCTATATATAATAATGAAAATAGAGTAAATGACTAATGACTAAATGTTCAATTAAATCAACCAATTTTATAAGAAGAAAACTAATAAATATGAAGCAAAATTTTTAAATCTATCAGCCAAATCATCCAACTAATAATGTAATACACCGTATTTTTAATGTATTTTATAAATTATTTATTTAATTATAAAATTTATTTTGGGTTAAAATATTTTAAGTATTGGATTATAAACAAAACAAGTATTAATATTAGGGTCAATGAGTATTTAATCCAAATGTAGCCCATATTCATAACAAACCCAAGCATCATATTTTTATATTTGGGTCAATTATTTTATTATTCAACTCCATAATTTTTATAAATTCCAAACCTACCCTAACCTACTCTATACTATAAATACTATATTAATCCCCAAAATTTGCCACACAATAATCAAAGGGGTAAGTTCTATCTTTTCTTTACTTTTTTTCATCTTTTCTTTCACTTTTCTTTTTTTTGCTTCGTAAAGGAACAACAAGGTGCTGCCACTCACCTTCACGTCCCCATGACCCACTATCGCTACCACGTGTCGTCGCCTCCGTCGCCGGTCAGCAGGTCACCGACTTGCTATTAGTCCCGCCGTGACTTCATCTCTTTCCTCTCTTGCTAAGTGTTCAACCTATACAATATAATTTGATATTAGTTTGGTTCTTAGTGTTTTAAACATACTTAATTAGTTTTAAAATGATATTTTGACTAATTGAAACTATAATTTTCAGATTTCATAAAGAGTTGTAATTTTCAAATTTTGAATTTGTTATAAAGTAAGGATTTTTAATATAAAAGAATTAATTTTTAGGGTTCTATCTTGAAATTAATTTGGGGGTTTTATATACCCATTGATTGGAAGTCTTAATAAAGCTTAAAGATTGAATCTTTATGGATTTTTGATGAGTTTTTAATTAAACTATAATGCTGGAATTTTGCCCAAAGTACTACTTTTGATGGTTTTATGAAAAATGTTTAATTAGCCATTAAAGAATTAAGGGATTAATTAAGGGTTTTACTATAATTTTCATATTTATTTTAAGTAGTCTAAAGTGAATTTAAGTTGCTAAAAATTGTGCATACAAGGAGAAGTAATATAGTATTATTGCCCTTTATGTAGGAGACTTGGTTCGGGAATTGTTGTAGAGTACTTGGTTATTTTAAGA